GTCGGAGTTAGAATGGCTCAAAAAGGAAACTTTCAAGAAAATAGAAGAAAAATAGAAGAAAAAAATTGAAAAAAAAAATTGAAGAGGCTATAATGCGTCTGACAGTGGAGGTGGGATATCCAAAAAAGGAAATCCAGCAAAAAATATTGTAAAATACAGGAAAAAATACAATAAAAATAAAAATAATAACTTCTTCTGTGCAGCATATTCACCTCTGCGACTTGAAGCTTTAAAGAGAGAATGTGTTACTTAATCCTGCCAGGGTGGGATACCTAAAAAAGGAAATCCACTAAAAAATATTGTAAAATACAAGAAAAAATAAGAAGAAAAAAACAAAACAACAAAACAAAACAAAAAAACCACTCTTCCCCCTCCACCCAGTCGCCATCACCTAAAAAGGAAATTCACCAAAAAATATTGTAAAATACAGGAAAAAAAATCACCACTCTTCTCCCTCTACCCATACTACCATTCTAGTTAGAATAGGTAGCATAGTAGGTTTTATTAGAAGGGAGATGTAGTGGTCTAAGGCTGCTCTCAAGAATTAGCAGCTGATATAAGTCATAATTAAATCATATTTCTGCTATTTGTATTGGAATTGATGGGTCCTGCCATTGCCTTGAAATTGATGGCTGTCTGTATTGGGTGCTATAGCTGCCTGACAAATGATGGCTGCCCATATTGAGGTTGCAATTGATGCCTGGTTGCATTAAATGCTAACATGTGTTCAAAAAGCGCTGGCTCTCGGAAAGTATTTTGCATTTTGCGGGCCAATGAGGCTGACAATCACAAAATGCTATAGATGACTCTTGTAGCCCTTGATGAGCTCTACAATTTGGGTATAGGGATCAGAGGTTTGGCTGATGACTTTCCTTTTTGGAACACTAACGCTTTTGTCCCAAAAGAGAAGTTTGCTACATTGGCCCTTCTCTGGCTCATAATTCAACCATTTTGGATGTTCTAACTGGATAGGAATGTTGTTCTAGGCTCTTTGAAGTCAACTAGGACACATTAGAGCCTACTACATTACAATAATAGGGTGAAAATAGCAAAGTTGATAAATTGTTCCCTGGCCATAATATCCTGGGGATATACAAATGGAAATGACTCTGGAGTGCACTACCTTGTTTCTTCAAGCTACAAAGATACCCTCCAGGTGGTTTATTGTATTTCAATGATGAAAAACATCGCAATTTGGTCATACAAAGAAATTTCACTTTGACCCTATTATGTATTCCTCCATGATATGAGATACCCCAAAACACATCCTTTGGGATTGGATGATGTATTCATAGTAGTAAAGTAGGCAATTGACATCCAAGGCACCCTGTACCCCATGTTCCGATCAGCCTCTTCTTTGAGATAAGTTTCAATCTTTCCTTCTAGATGTAGAATTTTGAGGTGTTTTTCCTCAGTAGATATGTCTTCATCATTCATGATTAGCTGCTTCTGTGCAGTCCAAGTTTGAATTTGGCGTGCTCTTTCACTGACCAAGCGGGAGCATATTTTGGCTTCTGCAGTAAGTTCATCTTTGTAGTCCTTCCACAGATTTTGAATGTTGTGTTCGCTTTTTCTCCCAGTTTGGATCAACTCATTGTGCTCGTCCGAGAGTTTCTTTGATTGGGGAATAATGTATTTAATAAATCTCGGAGTTTTGAGGAGATACATAGGGAAGTTCTATATTCCTGGCCCATACTGCTCATCTGTTCGACATGTTAATTGGACAGAAACCAAGTAGTGATCGCTGGAAATTAGACTGGGTTGGATTGACCAATTTCAATAGCGTGTAAAGCAGTGTACTGGGACGTAGATGTGATCAAGGTGTGAGCCAGATACATGGGTCTCATTTGTAGCTGTATTAGTGTGCTTTTGGAAGCAAGGGTATTCACGGGTATCTGGGAATGTTGAGCACCAGCCATCTTGCATACAGAAAAGAGCTTTCAGGCACAAAAAACTTAATGGTACAACTTCCTCTTTGTTTGATGTACGATCAATAGCATTTCGACAAAATTCCAATCCCCCATTGTTTCAGTTGGAAATGGAAGCTCAGGATTCTCCCTGTAAAAATACCAGGGCCCACATTCTTTCTCTTTCCTGAGGAGTATTAGGGGCGTAGATGTTCAAGATATTCATTGTTTCTCCCCAATGTGATGGTATACTCAGCATAATTGCATGTCCCTCGACAAGGACATATTCCTTTGCATTCTCTGTGTCAACAAATTTATTATTAAGAAGGATGCTAACTCCTGCTGTTGAGTCGTGTTTCATTGGGTGACCAGAGTTGAACAGTTTGAACCAATTCCGGTAAATGTTATTGAACTGGCTAGCAGCAATGTTGTCCATGCGTGTTTCTTGCACACCTATTTGATTATCATCGACCATCTTCTTCATGTATGCGAATTTGTGTCTGGTGTTGCTCATAGATTTATTCTTTTCTCTCCCATTTATATTTTGGGATGCAATAGTTATGTTTGAGTGTGTAAACTTCGCTGAGTGAGCGAGTTTTGGAGGTCTGTTCCTCTGTCTTATCTGTATATTTATCTCTTCCCAATTCTCGGGGATTTGGTATTGCCCTGTGTTCATAGTTTCAGGGTATGTATCTGGCAGGATGCTAATGCCATTAATATTCCTTTCCGTGTTTAGTTGTTGTCCTGCAGTGTTAAAATTGTTAGTATGGGAGTCATTACACGTTCTCTCTACATCTCCCATAATTATATCTGGAATTGGATGTGCACCATTCGTAATATGGCTGTTAGTTACTTCCTGCAGATCAGGAGCCACCACAGCCAATAAGGGCATCAACCATGGTGAATCATGATCTGGAGCAGTCACATTTCGAAGGATTGTAGGGGAACAGGGATGCTGCCCCTCGCCTATCGCTGTAGCAGCTGGAGCAGCAGAGCTGCCACAGAAGGGGTCTCGTGGTAGGTAGTCAGGGCTAAACCCCAGATCACCTCGACTCCTGCTGATCTCACTCTGTGAACTTGCAGCTGGCAGGCACTGACGAGAGGGATGTACCACATCCCCAAAACCCTCCCATGAATCGGGAGGGCCCTTGGTACCAATCTGAATATTTGTGTGGTTTATAGGCATGTTCTGGGTGCATTTTAAGACCGCTGTCATGAGATGTACGAAATTTTGCTAGGAAAGTCTGTGGTGGCAGTGGAATTTATATCATTTGGGTGGCTGTTTTCTGAAGCCAAATAGACAGTTTCAGGCTCAATGGATCTGGGAAAGCAGCCACTTGGTTTGGATGATTTGCTTCACATCTCAATGCATCAAAATTTTTAGTAGATTTTGTATTTAAAGATCAGTCTGACCGCATTTGGCCTTGTCAATAGGCTCCGTGGAAAGGGACCGAAAGGATGAAAACCAGTTGTTCCACAATCTGCAGTCAACATATGTACCTGAAAAGGTGGGTTTGCAAAACTGCACAAATACAACAGCATGAAGATTCATCAGGAGGTTGGTTGGAAAGGCCTGAAACTACTTGACAATTTTGTGGGCACTGGCATTGACTAAGGTGGCTGTGTTGTCCTTCGAGCGGAGATCTACTGAAATCACAGTCGACCTGACCACTCAAGTTTTGTTTTACTCATCGGTGCTTGATCAGTGCAAGCAGGCCGAAGAGGTGCTAAGGCCATTATATGCAGTTTGGAGCTGACGGTGCGGGTTTGGTTGATTGTGAGTTTGGGGGATTTGCAAGTACACTGCATTAATCCATGTCTCGTAGGAGTCTGGGAGGCACAATCAAATCCGGGTCACACCAACAAGTGCCATCTGTTTTCATTTAGACAGCACGGCACTCCCATATTAACTGTGGCATATACTTGATGTGCTGCAGTTAGAATCAAGTGTGCAGGCCCATTCTTGCGAATTATTGCCTCCTCCCATAGCCATGTATTATGCACAGCCCAGGTCCGATACTCTGATACCAAATTTTGTGCAGAGGCTGAAGACTCGGCCTCTGCTTCAGACATGAAATCTCAAACATGTATGTGGCAGCACTTGGGGTTGAACAAGGATGACCATTTGACCCGGGCCAGACCATAATATACATTATTTCTCCTTTCGTCATTTTTTGTGCCTTCATAAAGGAGAGGAAGGAACGGAAGAGAAGACATGAGTGCGGTTGAACTCTGAATTTTGAACGTTCTCCCCAGCATTCTTTCCTTCCAGGCATGCTGTGTGCCACACTTCAGGTGAACCTCTTTTTATTGTTCACAGGAGGTTACAGCACTAGTCAATATTGGATTGATATTTCATGACAAGTCGTCAAAGAAGGGTGTCATGGGGCAACAGCTGGGCAAGGCCACCATGACCTGGTGGTGTAGGGGTATAGAGTCCCTTTCTGACTTGGTGATGTTTGTTTTCTCAGGTGTTGGTGGTTCCTTGTGCTCTCTGGCTGTTAAATGCCTAGATTTCGAGGAGAGAACTAGATACCACACAGCCTGCTCTGGAGTCTTATTGAGCCTCCACTGTGTGGACAAAGGTGTGCTTCCCAGTGCAACTAGTGGATCTGCTTTTCCATTTCACATAGTGCCTTGAGGCAAGAATTTGACAAAACAGTCATATGCCATGCCATTGCCGATGGAAATTCCATTCCATGCCAGCAGAGGGATGAACACCCCTGGTTCTTCATGGGGTTGAACTCCGCTTGGCCTGTTATGGATATTGTGGTTGAGCCATCAGTTATAGTGTCCTGTTCCGGCAATTTCTGCTTAGGATGAGTGCCTTCCTGGTACCCCGCATTCTTTAGCGGTAATATGCCCTATCATAATAATTTTCCAGTGATCTTTATTATTGTGAGTCCCTCGTTTGAATGGGGTCAGGTCATGAGCAAAGCATCAACATATTATTTTTGTTTTTATTTTATTTAGGCGTGAGAGTTAGGATGCTTATGTATGGGCGGGAGGTGGTTAATTGTTAATTGCGAGCAGAAATCATTGGACCATCATCAGAGAAGGTTGATAGACTCCAAAGAGGGAGTGTACCATCATGACCTGGTGGTGTAGTGGTAACCTGCCTTTTCATAATATCTGGATTATTGGGGAGTCTCTTGTTCGATCCGGGGCCAGACCATACGGGGTTGTTATAGATTTTTTTGAACCATTTTTATCTCAGAAGTTCGGAGTGTTCTGCTTGTTCAAGTATCCATTCCTTGTTCCTGGGCTTTAAGTATCCTCATTCAGGTCCTAGCCTTGGATCACCCCAGGAAATCATCAGAAGAACCTAAGGGAGTCCCTCGTTCAAACCGGGGCCGGGGCATGTATGTTGGGTTTTGGTTTTTTGTTTGTTTTCCGTTGCATCAAATACGTAGATGTTTTCACCATCCTGGGCTATTCGGTGGTTGGATGGTCCGGAAATCATCGGAGGAACCAGATGACCACTTTGACATGAGGAAAGGATAGGGAAGAGGTGATTATGACTTGGTGGTGTAGTGGTAACACACCCTTTAAAAGTTAATGTCCTTCCAATCTTTGCTTCTGAGGGGGTTCCTCGTTCGAACCGGGGTCAGGTCATAGTCCATAAATTGAATTACGTTTTTTGTTCCATTTGAGTACAGTTGTGGACAAACAAAGCCCGCAAGTGATCTGTAGCCCGATCTAGAATTATTTTGGCTCCAAATTTATGCACATCAGATCCGGATTCACTCAAAGAGCTCAAAAAACCACCTCCGAAGTTTTTCCCACGAGAAATGGCCGGCGGCCAATTTTTTGGCCCAGATCCAATTTTCAGATTTGTGATTTGAGGTGATTGGCGAACATCGGGTTTTTTGCACAGCCACATTACATAAATTACATCATGCATCAGCTACAACAGCCTCAATTGCTGCCAACGCCGTACTCGAGATTGCGCGGTGCTGCTTTTGTGGCCTCACTGCCCATTCTGCTGCCTTACCTGTAAGCCCTTTCCTATAAGCACTCATAAACCTCCATGATCTATTGATGAACCGCCGAATAACTTCAACTGGACAAGCATCCAGGTATTTCAATGCCAACTCCTTTGATGCGGCAAAGCTGGTCTTGGGGATTTGCCTGTAGCGATACTTGCACCATCCCCAGTACTGTGTAAATTACTTCAATTCAAGCAAAGTATGGACATGTAGAAAATCACTTGCCATTTCAATGGGATTCAACTCACAGTGGAATTTGGGAAGAAAAATACATTCATGGCCTGCTTGAGTGATCACCTCCTCAAGCAGAGAGGGCTGGTTTAAAAAATCTTCTTGCTGGCTCAAGAGCCGGGCCATGCAACACCCAGTGTTTTCAATGGGGCAAACTGGGGAACATTTGGCTCTAAGCTTGGAAACATTGAATCCTCGTTCCACCAACACATCATGTAGCCCTTTGGCTTCTCCATTGCTAGTTGTCATCTTCTGAACTTTGCCTCTCTGTGCAGGCGATGGATTTGAGTCTGGAATAATGGTATCATGTTGTTTCCGTTGTTTCCCCCCATTTGATTTATTCATATCGAAGGCACGAAGTGCATCAGGAGCAAGTGAGGCATGTGCTGAGGACTGATCAAAAATGAAAAGCGCAGTCACCCCAGGGTGAATCTTGTTATGGATAGCAATTGCCCGTCTTATCTGTTTCATCAGCTGGTCTGTGTCCCACCAGTTATCTCCCTTGGAGCCTGGGTAAATAATTTCACGAGCATCATCAATGATATTTCCATTCTTATCCCGTTCAACCAATCGGCCAGTGCCTTCTGTGATGAAATCAGAGACATGGATCAGGCGACCTCGACTTTTCTTTTGTAGGACAGTCTGTCCTTCTGCAAGCCATGCAGACCGCATATAATCAAGAGCATGGAAACAACATTCATCATGGAAATAGGCAATAACTTTCTTGACTCCAGGTGGGAGTTGTGGTTCAACAGGTTCCAGCACTGTCACTGGTTTGCCTCCTGGTTCAGTGGCTGGCAGAACCTTAGCCTCATATTTTGTCATGCGGGCTTCAAATTCTGCCATCTTTGGCAAGAACACATCAGTGCGATACTTGACAACATCTTCCCGTTCATGGCCATCCATGTAGACACCTTTCTTAATCAGAGTTCTGCGATATCCAAGTCTTACAAGCCAGCGTCGAGCAGTACGCTCACTGATTGGTTTCTTAGGTGATATTCCTAAAGAGGCTAGAATTTCCGCATTCACTGCTTCACGGAATTTTGCTGGAGTTACAGAACCTGCTTTTTGTACCCTTAGCCAAGCAAGGCAGGCAGTTTGCACAGATTCATCATTAAGAAGTGACTTGGTGTTTGCCCTTCCGCCTCTTGTTTCCAAAGGAAGCTCTTCAAAAATCTGATAGTGTCGTACCAGTGCTCGGACACGACGTGAAAAATAGTGGCCTCCGCCTTCATGCCATTGACGTGCAATTTCAAGGCTGGCTTGGATGCGCTTCAACCCCTTGATGAGAAGAGTAGCAAAATTCCGGATGATGAGAAGTTGGTTGTACTGTGTGAGTGGCAGATTTTTTTTCTTCAAATGGGTCTTCACTTTTTCCCGAAGAGCATGCCAACTTTGCAGCTTCACTGTTTTCTCACCACTTTGGTCAGGTTGAGCCATGTGGGAGGAGGATCCAGATGCTGTAGGAGAGGAGCTTGACTGGTCTTCTCCTCCAACCATATCATCAATAATTATGTCCCAGTTGTTTGGGTCATCCTCCTCCATTTCCTCATCTGAGTTATCTACCACAATTAGTGGTGGACTTGAATGGCCACTGGAAACTGAAAGAACTGATGCTGATCGTGTCTGTGGGATGGTCTGACCAGGAGAAGGGGCTCGAGATTGAGGAGCTGTTGAGGCTGGAGTAAGACTAGAGTGTGACTCAAGACCAAGATTGAGACTGAGATCAGCCTCAACTTCAAGATCTGATTCTGGCAAAGTGCTAGGTTTGGGTGCTGACCCTTGAACCACAAAACCATCAAGTTTTCCCTGTTTTTGATTCATTGCTGCATATCTTCGTTGAGTTCGTGGTCTTTTGCTAGCTGTATCAGGGCCTTTCATATATTCCTTTGGACGGCCTGTCAACAGGGTAAATTTACAACTGGCTTTTAACTTGGATATAATTAATTCACCTCCAGGTACTCGTCTATCTGCTGCGCGTTGAGCCTCATAAGCATCCTTTGTTGGGATCCAGTCGTCGTCCTCGGCATCCAATCTATCCTCTTCCATTTGAGCAACCATCTCAAGTAAACGATTGTTGAATTCCTTCTCTGCAATTTCATCCCAGTCTGCTTCATTGTCATTGTCATCATGATCTGTGTCAACCTCAAGATACATAATGCTGTCCAGTTCCATATCGTCAGGAATTTGTGTGTCAGAATAGTCACCCAGAGTGTCAGTTGGACTGGGACTACGAGTAGGACTCTCCGGTGAAGATGCCAGCCTAGGTTGATTCTTCAGACCAGAGATGTTTCTCTTGGCACGTTTAGCAGGTCTTCCACGACGGGTGGCCATGAGAGTAGAGGACAAGATGGAGTGGGAACGATTGGAAGCTCAGTGTGGGTATAAGAATGGACAAAAGCAGGGGTATTGTCGGAAACATCACGGAAATCAACCTGGTGACAGACCATGTGATCAAGGAATGTTTATTATTTTGCGCAACAACCGCTCGATGAATCTTTTTAATTTTTTTAGAATCAAACTCGCCTTGAGAATCCGCGTCGATTCCATATTTTTTCATATTTTTCCCACGCTTTTTAGCCGGTGGCCAAATTTTTGACGGTTCATCAACAATAAATGGCACTTTCCGGCACAACGGCTCGACAGAATTACATGATTCATATACCGATGTGAAGCCCTCGATGAGATCTATCGATTGGCGTCTTCATCTCGGCCAAAAAAATCGATTTTTTTTTTGGCGGACTTTGTTTGTCCACAACTGTAAGTGTATCTCGGAAATTATGTATCCCACTTGTTTGAGTACCTTAAGATGTTGTGCCATCCGTTTCGTGTTACTGGCTTTATCTTTATTCCTGGGATTTATATTTATTCCGTAGATGCTAATCTGGGAAATCATCGGAAGACCACTTTGGCAAGGGAGGGAAGGGTACAGAAAAGGTCATCATGGCATGGTGGTGTAGTGGTAACATACCCTTTACAAGTGGATCTTCCTGCGTATCTGGTTTCTAAGGGAGTCCCTCGTTCGAACCGGGGCCTGGTCATGTTTAAGATAAGTGTGTTTTGTTCCATTTAATTAAATCTATCTCGGAAATTATGTATCCCACTTGTTCGAGGACATTAAGATGTTTCGACATCCATTCCGTGTTATTGGGCTTTGTCTTTATTCATATTCATTCCGTAGCTGCTAGTCTGGGAAATCATCGGAAGACCACTTTGGCATGGGAGGAAAGGATAGGGGTAAGATGGTCATGACCTGGTGTTGTAGTGGTAACATACCCTTTACAATTTGTTCGCTCATCCTAATGTTTTCTAAGGGAGTCCCTCGTTCGAACCGGGGCCAGGTCATATCGTTTGTGTATAGAAATGACTTTTTTGTTCCATTTAATTAATTGTATCTCGGAAATTATGTATCCCACTTGTTCGAGTACATTAAGATGTTCTGGCATCCATTCCTTGTTATTGGGCTTTATCTTTATTCCTTGTTCCTGGGCAGCTGGTGGCGCGAAAGAATCGCCGCGATAGGCACAATCTGATAAGATGCCGGATCACGAGGAGTTTGGTGTTGTGTGGCACGGCGCGTCAGATTCGCGCGTCTACTTGGTCGCCGACTTTGCTGTACACCCACTCGCCCGTCGTGCTGCCGCATTCTTCGATCAGCTTGCATCCTTTTTGCCTTTCGGAGACAAGAGAGGAGAAGAAGGACGAGGGAAGAGGCGGGACAGGACGCCAGCGCGCTTAGTTTGGAGCTTATACAGTGTATGGGTTTATTCGTTCGTACGGGCTTGTGCTGACGAGCTGCATTCAGAGAACACAAGAACTAAAATACGATGGGGAAGAAACGGCAGCGCAACCGCACGGCGGCACCGACGACTGCACGCTCGCAATACGATTCGGAGGAGCGGAGGGGGGATGGGGAGGGGCCGCCGGACGCGCTGACTGCGGCGGCGCTCGCGGCGACGTCGGAGCTGCTCGCGACGGCGAAGGAGCTGTACCGCTCGCTGGGCGGGAGCGCGGCGGACTTGCCGAGTGCGCGCGCGCACGGGGAGGCCAACGGGGTGTATGGATCCGGGGACGAGGGGGATGAGGACGGCGACGGCGACGAGGGGGACGAAAAGTACTGGCGGGGGCTGCCGGCGTCGGTGCGGGCGGGGGTGCGGGAGGCGGCGGCGGTGCTGACGGAGGCGGGGCTGTCCCCTGGTGCTGGTGACGGTGGCCGCGGCGGCCGGGGGATGCCGAGAATTCAGACCCCGGCATCACGCGTGGCTCCTGCTGACCAATACTTTTCACCGTCGACGCCTCCGCCTGCTCGCCCATCCGACGACCCCGAGAAGCAAAACAGCAGCACCAACGAGCCAGCGACGGACGACGACGACGACGAGCTAGAGGCACCGATAAAACCCGAAAAGAGGATGGCCCCGCAGCCGCCCTCGAGCGTGTCCATCGGGAAAAAGCCGATGGCGTATCAGCAGAATGCGACCCCGGCGCCGGGCCAGCCCGCGAGGAGCGCGCGTGCGGCGGGCAAGGCCGCCGCGTACCCCCCCGCCAACCCCAGCGCCGCCGCCAACTCGCCGAACGCCAACAACAACACCGCCTCGCCGAACGCCAGCGCCGTGAACGACAAGGGCGGCGGGTCCCCCGCGGCAGATAAAGGCAAGGGCGTCGGTGGTGGCGGAGGCACGAACAAGATCTGGAGCACGAGCAGCAGCGAGGAGCGCGAGCGGATCCGCGACTTTTGGCTGGCGCTTGGGGAGGATGAAAGACGGGATCTGGTCAGGGTGGAGAAGGATACGGTGCTGAGGAAGATGAAGGAGCAACAGAAGCATTCATGCTCGTGTGCAGTTTGTGGGCGGAAGAGGTGCGTACGGGCTTTCATCTTTCTCTTTCATCTGGTTGCTTGGATGTCGGGTATCGCCCGATGACGGGTTATTGGCGGCGGCGCCACGATGGGCGGTGGCCCTGACCTAGCGCCTCTTTTTTTTTGCTGTCTTTGATCGGCGGAGCATTGTCGGACCCACGGTGACTGCGGAGCCCAGAGGCGCCCGCCACCCTCACTGTTTTTCCCGCCCGCCACTCTTTCGATCTTCATGCCACCCTCAGCTATCTTATCGATTCGGGGCCAATAAATACTGACACATGACCCCAGGAACGCGATCGAAGAAGAGCTGCAGGTGCTGTACGACGCGTACTATGAGGACCTCGAGCAGTACGCGCTGTACCAGCAGCAGTACCTCGCATCTTTGTCGGCGCACCCCACGCCCAACTCGACGCCCGCGCTCCCGAATGCAAAGGGGAAGCTGCCGCCGCCGCCGGGGCCGGGGCCGTTTCCGTGAGTGGTGTCATTCCTCCTTCCTCCCTCCCACTTTCCTCCTTTCCCTTTCCCTTTCCCTTACCTCCTCCCTTCCCTCCCTTTCCCTCTTCCCTTCCCTTCCCTGCACTGGAACCATATGGAGAAAGGCTAACGATATTTTTCAGAGGGAGCGTCGAAGTCGACCGCTGGGGCGCCGTGGTCGGGTACGCCGTCGCGCCCTCGCTCTCCCTCGCCTCGACGCTCCCGCCCGCCTCGCCCCTCGCAACGCACCCGCGCGCCGCGCGCCCCGCCGCGCGCGCGAAGCACCCGCCGAAGGCGGAGGAGGAGGAGGAGGACGTGTACGAGGAGGACCCCGAGGAGGAGGGCGATGAGGAGGACGGGGAGGAGGCGCCGCCGCCGCCGCCTGCGCCCGTGGTCAACGGCCGGGGGGGCGCACGGGGCCGGGGGGGCGGGGGCAGGGGCGGGGGGCGGGGCGGTGTGGATATGAAGGGGAAGATCGCGGCGGGGGTGGGGGCGGGGGTTGGGGGTGAGTGCGGTTTCCTTTCTCTTTGTCTGTTTCGTTGGTTTTTGTCTGGTTTGTTGGGATGTGGAGGAGGGAGGCGGGTCATTGTACCCGCCCCGCCCGTCCGCCCGTCCTATGCGCCGATTCCTACGTCCATCCATCCCTCCCCCGCATCTTACGATCTCTTTTCGCCCCCTCCCCTCCCCGTCGCCCCTCCCTTCGAATCCAGCCTGCCAGCGCGGGTCGCGTGCCGCGCTATATATAGCGCCGCCTCCCTCCTCCGTCCTATCCCATCCTACCAATCCATCCCGACAATCGCATATCACATCCACGTCCCTCCTTCCCGCCCATTTGACTTTCATACCCCCGTACCGCCTCGGCGGTTCGCGCTAAATGCTACCCCCGACCTCGCTCCCCCCTATCCCCGTATACCCTACCTCTCCTCTTGCGCTCCTCGCATTCGTATCTTCCCTCTCCCCCCTCCTCTGCTTCTTTTTATCACGAATTGAACTCACCTCCTCCGTTCGGCTCGCTGACGCTCGCCCGTTCGCAGGCCCGACCTCGATCCTGACCGTCGCGGACGACCTGCTCAAGAACGACGGGCAGAAGTTTCTGGAGATGATGGAGCAGCTGGTGCGTTTTTTCTTCCTCTCTCTTTCTTTCCCTTCATTTTGTGTTCTTGCATTTCGTTTTTCGTTTTTCGTTTTTCGTTTCGAGGATATTCGAGTCTTGGAGCTGGATCATTTCCTGCGGAGGTTTTGGACGCGACGGGCGGGGTCGCGTTGGGTTGCCCCAGTTTTTCGTGTCGGCAGCCTCGCCAGCTCGATGCGAACTTTCTTAACCGCTGCTTTCGTCCTTTGGGTCTCGGGCCTTTCAGGATGTTTTTCTACCTCCCTCTTCTTTGGGAGCGGGGGGAGGGGACGGATTCCGGTCGCGGGATGTGTTGGTGTTGGACGGGGATCGGTTTGCGTTCCGAGGACGATGCGGGTCTGGGTCGCGATTTGGAGCAGAGTGGTGTTCTGTGCGGTTCCGTTCTATCGGCGTGTTTTCGTGCGCGTCGTCTCAAGGCTGAGGGCGCGGAGGGTCGTTTGCGTAGGGTCGCCGTTGGGTTGCCCTGGTGTTGTTCCCGCGACCTTACGGGTATCCAGCCGTCCGCGCTTTTCTCGCCGTGTTTTCTTCGTTCGTGTCGGCGCTGGGATGAACGGGTGCCCGTCCGTCGTTTTCCATTCATTTCGGATCTCAGGCGCGGGCCTTGTTTCCGCACCTTTTCCTTCTTCAACCCAAGGTCTACTTTCGAATGAATGTATTGCTGACGTCCCATTTCCGTATGCAGGCCGAGCGCCGTATGGCCCGCGAAGAAGAGGCCGCCGGCGGCGTCTCCGGCGACGAGGTGCGTTGCTCCTCTTCCCTCGCTCCCTTCTGCTTCCCTAATCACCAATATAATTTTTTTTTATCAAAGGACGACTCGTCGTCGGCCTCGCTCTCGGATGACGACGGCTCGGACTCGGGCTCGGACGGCGAGGGGGAGGACGAGGACGAGGACGACGGGGGGGACGAGGACGATGACGAGGATGAGGGGGACGGGGACGGGGAGGAGGGGGATGGGGAGAGCGAGGATGAGAGTGGGGGGGAGGAGGTGCGTTTGCGTTCTCCTGCTTGAGATGTACTGACTGAGGCGACCAGGTGATGACGGAGGAGCAAAAAATGGAGGAGGGCAAGCGGATGTTCAGCATCTTTGCGGCGCGGATGTTTGAGCAGCGCGTGCTGCAGGCGTATCGGGAGCGGGTGGCGCAGGAGCGGCAGGTGAGATTCTGCTATATTCGTTCGGGACGGAGGGGGGTGGCGCGGCAAAACAGGCACTGACGCCTCTCGCAGCTGCAACTTCTCCGGGAGCTCGAGGACGAGGACGAGCGGGAGCGGGAGAAGGAGGCCAAGAAACAGACGCAGAACCAGAAGAAGAAGGATAAGCGGCGGTCGGTCCTTCCTCCCACCTTAAGAGCAACGCTGATCGTTTTTGGTAGGCAACAAAAGCAGGCCAAGGAGGAGAAGGAGGCGCAGAAGGCGGCAGAGAAGGCTGCAGAAGAGGCGGCTGTCAAGGCCAAGCAGGCGGCCGCGGAAGAGGAGCAGCGCAAGCGGCGCGAGGAGGAGCGCGTGCGGCGCGAGACGGCGCGCAAGGCGCAGGAGGAGGAGAAGGCGCGGAAGGAGGAGGAGCTGCGCAAGCGGCGCGCGGAGGAGAAGGAGAAGGAGGCGGAGCGGGAGCGCAAGCGGCGCGAGAAGGAGGAGCGCGGGAAGGCAGAGAAGAAGGACCGCGAGGAGAGGGAGCGCAAGAGCCGCGAGGAGCGCGAAGCCAAGGCAGCGAAGGAGCGCGCGGCGCAGCTTGCGGCGGCCAAGGAGCGCGAGGAGAAGGAACGGGAGCGGAAGAAGGCGGTGAAGGAGAAGGAGGAGCGGGAGGCCAAGGAGAAGGCGGAGAAGTTGGCAGCGCAGCAGCAGCAGCAGCGCACCGCGGCTGCGGTCAAGAACGCAAGCGCGAACGCG